GCGGTGCTGGGCGGGAAGGGAGGTCGTGGCGGCGGCGGCACGGACAGCAGCGGCGGCGTCGGCGGCCGTGGGGACAGCAGGCAGGAGGGGAGTGCTATCAGTTAGGCCGTCAGAGAAATGGGAGACCCAGGGTCCGAGGTGAGTAGTGGCGCGTCGGGGCGTGGGTTCTCCCAGGCGGACCGCCAAGGTCTGAGGCCTGGTGCTCGGCAGCAGCCGCGGGGCGATGCCCGCAGCGTCTCGAGCCGAGCCCAGGTTTGGGGGCTAGTGCAGGTCTGAGCGAGGAAGCAGCGGCAACAATGGCCGCCCTGCCGCCCCCGGCCCCCTGCACCAGCTCCGGAATTCCGTGTTGCCGCTGCTCTGCCGGTAGGAGCGACATTTTGAGACAGGCTTGCTCTTGGTAGTGAGCTTGCATCCCTCCTCCTTGAGCAGATTGGGGAATTCGAAGGGGCTGGTACCTTGTTTTCGTCGTCAGGTTCCTACAGCCCCAGGTATGCAGAGGCATAACCGGACTCCATCGAGTTGTGTTCTTAGTCGCGTTGCGTGGAATTAGGCTCAGTTAGGTTTCCTATAAAGCTCTTCCTTTTTCGTTCCTTTCAAGAAGATCTGTTGCTGCGAGTACGTGGTTGTATAGATAACCGTGTTTTGGCTTATTTTTTATAGATGGTAGAATCTGTCCCTCCAGCTGGGCCCGAGGCATCTGAGTCCACAGCGGATGAAAATGAAGATGATATTCAGTTTGTTAGTGTAAGTAGCAATGACATTCGGTTTTTCCCAGAGTCAGAGACTGTGCGTGGTAAGCCATTATGTGACTATCTCACGTGTTCAGCAGATAGTATGCATGTCTGATAGGTGCTAGACAGTGTGAGCATGGCATAGGATTAGGAAATTTACCAAAAGAAGTCTCTGGGCAACCACAGTAGCCATCACAGAGACTGTGGCCTAAAGTACGTGTTGTACAGTTAATCACTTCTCATGCCTTCATTTAGAGCCATTTTATATGTAATCTACGCAAAGTTTTGGTCTTTTAAGACTGTTTTGAAGTGGGATAAGAATATCTTCTAAAAGATGACACACGTGAGGGAGAAGAATATAGAAAACAAGAATTGCAAGAACTTAAAACCTGAGCATTATGTAGCTTCATAAGATGAAGGCAGATAGCTTGAAGATGTCACTTATCTCTGAGGTCATGATGTTACAGCATAGTACAACAATTGATGTTCATAATGAAGATCCCTGCATCACCAGGAACTTACTGTATTTTCTGATTTTATTTCCTTTGAGACAGTTGTTTTCAAGCATTTGTATGTATAGGTTCCTAGGACACACTCTGGACCTATTGAATCAGTTTGTAGGTGGGGCTTAGGAATCTTCATTTTGGAACAATGCAAGGACAGACAAATATCCAAACCACACTTTATAAAGCACTGGTTTAGGGAAAAGGGTGGTATGACATATTTTGGGATGATTTTCACCCAAAACTGTTAAAGTATCACAGAGGCTCTGCTTAAAGTAGTATCTTAGCTAGAGAATACTTCTACTCTAAACTACTCATTTTGAATGCTGTAGTTAGTTGAGGTTTGCTATTAAGGGTGTATAATTATTTTTATTTAATTTAGTGTCTGATGTATATTTGCTTGTTGATTTTGAGGCAACTTTGTAAAACTGGTTATTAGACAATATCTTCTAGTGCTCCAGCATTAGGGCCTTTGTGGTGATCCATTGTTGTGTTTTAATCAGTTTGTTAATAGAAATCTTTCACAAGATCATTTCTGTGGCTTTTTCCCCAATGCTAGTACATATGGTATTCTGTCCTTTTCATTTTAAATTTAAGGATTGGAGGAAAGGGTAGAAGAATTGTATCCTGCCCCTTTATTCCCTGTGGACCGACATATGGTAACAGGATTCCATGTCTCTTTAGGACAGATATTTCAGGTTCTTCTTGAATATTGATATACTCGTGAATAGAGAATATTTATTTTGATATTTTCTGCAACTAAAAGTAAGAATGACACACTTTTTTCTGAGCTATGGGCCTTGCTTTAAAAGTCACAGACTCTACTAAAATAAGTTTGGAAAACATTTTTTTTTTTTGACACTTAATGGAATGAAGAATTGTAGTGTAGCTTGCGACTAATTAATATAACCTTGTATTAAATTGAAGTTTAAAAATAATTTTAAGTTTTATTTAAAATAAAGAGATGTTATATCTTTGCATCAGAAATAAAAAATATACAATCAATGTTTTGTGTATTCAACTTGATACATCTTATATTTATTCCTGTTTCCAAATATAGATTCAAAGGTTCGATAGTTGCAAATGGGGAAATAAATTATATGTATTAAGTGCAATTACAATACTAGAAGAAATCTATTAAAAACATTCTCCTCTGCCTTTTTAGTGACACTTAAATGGCAGTAATGGCCTTAAGTCAATTCTGGAACACATTTAGAGACAGAAATTTCTACTTCTCTGATCCAATCTTATACTTGACTCCTCCAGATATTACTTGTACAATAACGATAAATAGTTCTCTGCTTAAGATTTCTTCAGAAACCAAAAAAGCATTATGATGTCATTTCTTGATTTACTCTGGTTTGAATTTCTTAGTTCGCTGTTATTAATTTAATTTTCTCATCTTTAATCCACATGGTAGAACAGTTTCTCTGTGGTTTGCAAAATGTGGAGTATGAAGCTAAACATAGCATGCTGAAGGAAAGGGATAATGTAGATGTAGAAGTGCAAAAATGACCTCTTTCATTTAAATTTTATTGGAATATAACAAAGTTCATAAGTGTACTGTTTGATTTTTGTAAAGCCATTACACCTGTGTAAACAGGGATCAGATCAACAAACAAAATGTTACCATAACAAAAACTTTTCATTTAGGTCTTTTCCTCTCATTTTCTGTTAAGTTTGATGATATGACTCTTTATTCAGCCATCATCTTCATGTCTTTCTTTGAAACTGCAGATATTGTAATTTACTCCCAGAAAACTTTTAGCTAAGAGCTGACGACATGATTTTGCATAGTGCTACTCTGGATACAAAGGTATAAAAACTGCTGAGGCGGTTTATCATAATCTTGAGAACAGCACATGAGATTTAGGTTTCAGCTAAGATTATTGGTATAATGTAGAATCATTGAACATGTACAAATAATGAAGGAAATCAAGGTATAATTTCATAAATAACTTCAGGAGCACAAAAGTCAAGTAATAATACTTTAATTGCAATAGAAAGGGGTCATGGCCAAAAAATTAGGATATCTTTTGGCTGGGTGTCTTGGGACTGTACTTAGCTTAATAAAAATAATGTTGGAACCTATAACATGCAAAGTCATGAATTAAGTGGATTAATTGGAAATATATCCTACCCATAAGTATCAGTGCGGGAGATCAAATACTAGATGAGAACTGTGTAAATAGTTTTAGTAGAAAGTTCTTTTATAAAAGTACATGGTGCTATCAAAAAAAAAAAAAAAGATTTTTCAGCTTATTTGGTTAGGTAGCATTTAGTATTTGTATATGTTTAAGAAGTCATTTTGAGAAGAAAGAAGGAAAGGCATCAAAATTGGGAAAGCAGGATTTTGTGTAGTTCTGGATAATAAGAATTTTTTCAGTGAAAGAGGGAAGGATGGGCCAGATAGTATAGATCTTGAATTGTGGACTGAATTTGAACTTAAAGTAGGCAGTTGGGAACCATTTGAAATTTTTGAACTGGGCAGGACTGCAGAAGTAAACTGTGTCTCTAACTTCTCTAGATGGGTGGGGATGGGTGGTAGTGGTTGGGAAATGAATTATTTAGGGTTTTAGATTATACTTTTGCATTTGTGCCAAAGCCATATCCTTTGTTTTAGGCTAGAGTAAACTTTTTTGGGGGGTGAGGAGGCATAGTATACTGTATCTTAGTGTATTAACATCACTTGTCAGTTAATAGGTAATTGGTGTTTTGGTTTTATATGAGAATCAGTTTTCTATTAACAGGAATGAAAGTTTTTTGTTTCATTAAAAAAATTTTTTTTAACTTAGAATATTAATTCAACTGTGTTCCTAATCTGTTTTGCTTGTGCCTGTGCTCCTGCCCCTAAATTGTGTGGCCTTAGAAGTACAATCCTCTGATTTTGTTATTGGTACAGAGGAAATGAGACTTGCTACAGAGGTTTTCTAGTTGATGGATGGAGCAGTCAAATAAAATACCTTGTAAATGGAGGACCGCATGCATTTATACTTGTTAAGGATACAAGCAGTCATTATAAGTATTATAAGAAATTATTTCTTCTTGATCTTTGTATTATAAACATTACCTCTTTGGGGATGTTAACTTGTTTTTTGGTCAGTATTATTAATTATTTGGAGTTGGGCATAATAGCAGGTAGTCTTTTTCTCTTATTGAAAATTATCTTAAAAATTTAGGTAGTAAGCATTGATTTAAAAATAGTATGTGTATTTTGAACGACCTCAGAGTTGCATTGACCATGTAACCAATTATGTGTTTAGAGAACCAGGTGTACCTCACTTAGTTTTCCTGTTCGTTAAATAGGACAATAGTAATAATTCAGTATCTCATCTTGTAAAGTAATTGTAGGGATTAAAAGAAATCATGTTCATGAGAAGTTTAGCACAATCCCTGTACAGGGCTCATGACAAATGTTTTTGATTAGCAGTAAAATAAATGGGGTACTAAAATGTTTTGGTAGAAGTTTGGTAGCAGTTTTTCCATAACCACTGTGGAAATTAGCTGAAGTGTGGAGTATTTGTTTATAAGTAATCTTTTCTTTTGTGATACTTCTCTTTATTTTCACTTAACCTCTTTGCCTTTTTTGGTTGTCTCACATGCTTGTCGTCATCCTCTGTCATTCTGTCACAACTCCGTAATCATTTGTTGAGTAAATGGCTCCTGATTTTTCTTTCTTTTGGTTTTCATATCTTGATTCTTTTTATTCTTAGTGTGAACGACATGAAGTTGTCATTGTTTAATTCAAAAGTGGTTGCATGTCAGTCTGACGGTTAATTCCTATAGTAAATTTCTGATAGTCTTCTTGTACCTATTTTTACACCTGTCCCTTCTACTATTTCTGCATCTACTTTGTAATCCTATTTGTAACCATTTTCATTATTCCATTTTTTCCTACCCATTCTACTTTTTGCTTTGTGGCCTGTTACCCTCTGTCATTCTCCTGATTTCTATATCTACTGTCTGTTCATGGAAGCTCTACCCCTACATCTATGTATTTCTGGTAACCTGGGGACTATCTCGATGTGCTATTGTTATGGGCATGTAATAACATTTCCTAATGCATTTTTCTTGAACAGCTCAACCTCAGGTAATTATATGAACAGGAGAAGGTATTTTTATCTCCTCTACTTCCTTCTTAGATTGACCATGTGATTTCGATAATACTAGTGGTAGGTTTTAGTCACTTGTTTATGCGATTAAAGTAGGTGATGCATCTCTGTTGACTATACATTGGGAATTATCTGTCTCTCTTTTCCTCTTTTTTAAACTTCTATTTTTATAGCTCTGGCAAAAATTCCAATTACTTTATTCCATGATCTTTGCTCAGAAGTTATGCTCTCTGGTTTTATGTCAGTGGCTGGATCACTACCTGCCAGGATAGCAATTTTCTACTTGGATTCTCCCCTAGTTGTAGCCTAGGGGGAGAAACAAGCTATCTTTGAGACTGGTTGCTTCTTTCAGGAAGAGATCTTTAATTAGATCTTAGCTTCTGTCTCCTGACTCTAGGGTCTCTTTCTGTTAGTTTTTCTACTAAATTACTTTGGCTTGCCAACAGTCAATTTTTTCTATCCTAAAAAAAAATCTTTCCTTCAGCCATCTTTTTCTGTGTTCTTTTCTCTTGTTCTCAATATATTAGATTATTTTAAAGAATAATCTTTATTCATGTCTTTTATTACCTTATTTTCTACTTAATTTTTTAGAGAATGGCTTCAATGCCCACTACTTTCTTGAATTGTTCTCTCGAAGGCATTTTAAAATCTCCTTGTTGCCAAATTCAGTGGCTTTTTTTTTTTTTTTTTTTTTGCCCATTTTCA